GTGTGTGCAAGTGAGTGTGAGTGAGAGGGTAGACGCCCCGCCCCCGGGGGGGGCAAGGAGACACCTTTGATTGGCTTCGTTAGTCGGCACCGAAGGGAAGGCGGGGGCCGGCTGCGTCTCCTTCGTGGCGCCAAACGCTACAACCTGCCCTCTGCTCGCCTGCCCACCATACCGAGTTCTCTTCCGGGTCTCTCTCTCTCTAACACTTGAGAGCAGTTTGCTCATCTCGGTGTCGAAAATCATGTCGAAGGGGGGTTTACTGACGTCGAAAACGATGTCCGTCTAGCGAGAGTGCGCTATCCTCCAATAATTAGCTGTCACAATGTACCTTCTTGTCTCTGTAACGTCTCACTGGACCTCGTCCTCTCAGGACCAAAACACATGAAGAATGACCGTCCCCAGCGCGGCCCGACAAAAGACAAAAGCCTTTCATTCTTTATTACAGAACGCCCGGCATATTTGATAACCGGATTAAGAGTGTAATAGTGAAAAAAAGACGAAAAGGGGGGGCGGGGACCCACCCCAAGTGGCTAAACGGCACGATCCCCTCGACAGTCCCTGTATCGAGCCTCCTCCTCCCCCCCCCCCCCTCTCTCTCCCTCCCTCTCTCTCTCCCTTCCACCTCTCTAAAGGGACGACGTCGTCCAGGCAAATTCGACGTCGAAACGATATCGAAACGATATCGGAACGATATCGAAACGATATCGGAACGATATCGAAACGATATCGAAACGATGTCGGAACGATATCGGAACGATGTCGGAACGATGTCGTCCAGGCAAAGTCGCCGTGGAGACGCCATCGACCTGATGCAATCGCTGTTCGCGGGCCGTGAGCAGGGGCTCTTCAGTCGTGCTCGCTTCACGACACTACATGCTACATGCTACGTACTGACGTGAGTGGAAATTTTTAGAAAAGCGACCGGGGCAAGAAATCCAGAATAAACAATCAAAACAGTCGTTGAGTAAAACGACACGAGACCCAGTCCAGTAACCGCGCTACTCGTGAAAGAAATAAATCACCATAGTTTCGCGGAAATGCGTCATCAAGTAATGTCAGGGTCATTTGAGATCATTTTGCCATATAGTATATGTAGTATATATGGCATAACTTAACATTTTGACGAGACCCGATGACTGTGTGCTCTGGGTACAGAGACTAAAGGAGGAGAATAAAGGTGTGAAAAAAGCGAGGGGCCAGGGGCCAGTTTGTGTGAAAGGCGACGGGCGGTAACCACTTCCCTACTAAAGCTGCGGGCAAAGGAGGCGAAAGGGTTAAAAAGAGCAAGGGGTGGGGATAGGGGGGGGGGGTAAGTGGGGAAGGGAGGACGACGTCGTCAAAAGAGGGAAGGGCGCTCTTCAACGGCGTCAGCGATTTTGATTGGTGCCTTCCGACGCGGGGCTTGAGAGGTACGGACAATAGTGCGGCTACTGGCTGCAAATCATAGGCCCCGAAAAGTGCAAAAAGAGAAAAGGGGGTAGGAGAAGGAGAGGGGGGTGAGTGTTACCCTGAGCTTAAAATTTTGTAATGTCTTTCTTAGTCTCTCTGATCCCTATACACCGGTGATGAAGGCAACCAACCAGCTAACGCTAGCTGTCGGGGGGTACAAATATCATGGCTCCCCAAATGGATCCGGAACATCATTGGAGTCCATTGAGACACCATATGATATTTTTACCCGGGGTACAAATATTATGGGGTCCTACGGGTTTCAATGATGGCCTGCGTCCCGATCCATTTAGGACCCCATTATATTTGTACCCCCCCCCCCCCCTTATAAAAAGGCCTGTAGTATTTCAACCAATTTCAACGACCCCTCACGTGGCCACTTGAGCCACACGCGTGCGGCGGCGGGGCTGGGCGGGGCTGGGCGGAGCGGGGCGGGGGTGTCTGCCTCACGCCTCAGATGCTCGGAACTCCCGCCGACCGGAGGGACGGACGGGCGAGCGGACGGACGGACGGCGCCTTGGGCCGCGTGGGGAAGATCAGGGCGAGTCTGTGTCAGTGGTGTCAGTCCGTCGGTGTCCGCCGAGTCCGTCAGTCCAGCCGAACTGCCCGCCCCCCACACGGGGTCCACACAGCTCCTCTTCGGCTGTGCGTGTGTGTGTGCGTGTGTGCAAGTGAGTGTGAGTGAGAGGGTAGACGAGCCGGTGCTGGAGGCCGTCAACGCCGCCGCCAACGCCGCCGCCAACCCCTCCCTGCTCGACCTGATCCAGACCGACGGCATGAAGGTACGAGTCCCGGCAGGGCGTCCTCCTCACAGCAGAAACAGCAGCAGACAGCAGGACGGCGACCAGAAGATCGAACCGTGCGCGTCCGTTTTTGGCGCGTGGCCGGGCAACGTCGGCGTCGGCGTGCCCCGCCTGCCGCCCCCGCGCCCGCCGCCGCCTCCGTCTAGTCCGTTAGCATGCAGGGACCGTGTGCTTGGCCAGCGCGTCCGAAAGTGCCCATCAGTGTGGTGCCGCCGCCCTTCTGTCTCTCGCCCACCGGGCAGCCGGTGCGGTGGGATGTTTGTTTACGTATGCAGCCCCCAAAGTGTGCCGTTGCGCCCCCCGTACGTCTTAAATGGTGATCCCCCCCCCC